TCTGTAAAATACCAGAGGATCAGTGGGTGGATATAGCCAGTTTGTATATGATTGACAAGGCTGAAAATTGGATGTCAAGCTATCTGTCGTTTAGAAAGTTTGTGTCATGGCATGAGTTCATCATAGACTTGAGTGCAAGGTTCAGAGATGATAAGGGGCATAATGTAGTGGAGCAATTCAAAAAACTCGAACAGAAAGGATCATTAGAAGATCACATCGATGAATTTGAGGACTTAAGATCTTTGTTGGTACAAAACAACCACTATCTGCCTGACTCTTACATTTTAGACTGTTTTATTGGAGGATTGAAAGCAAGCATTAGGCTATATGTTAAAGCCTTTAAGCCTAACTGTTTAGCTCAGACCATTGAATATGCTAGGCTCAAGGAAGAGTCATTGGAGGTGGAGCATGCTTGATATACCAAGTTCCAGAAACCTCCTGCCTATAATTCTTCCAAGCCTCCCCTTCTGCCAACTCCGCAAACCAAGGCTGCCAATTTCCCACCCAACAAGGGCTTCAAATATATACCTGCAGATGTAAGGGCAGAAAAGATAGCCAAGGGGCTGTGCTATTACTGTGATAAGCCCTTTGAGAAGGGCCATAAGTGCAGTTTCAGGGAACAACAGTTGTTTACGGTGGAGATACCTGCAGAAGTAAATCCAACAGAAGGCCAGGAGGAAGAAGTGGACCAACTTGATTCCATCATAGCTACTGAAGGAAATGATGCTCGTATATCTGTACAAGCACTGACTGGGGGGGCACGGCTATCAGACTATGAGGGTCAGGGGCTTGGTCGATAAAGAAGATATTAAGATATTGGTGGTAGCACTCATAATTTTCTTAGTCTGGATACTGCGAGAAGATTGGGGTGCAAAGTTGAGGAGGTCCCTGGTCAAACAGTGATAGTAACATGCTTGTAAGCATTTCACTTGGAAGATGCAAGAGGAAGAATTTGTCACAGACATGTTACTGATTCCTTTTGGAAGCTGTGATATGGTATTGGGGGTGCAGTGGTGTTCTCTAAACTGGATCTAAGGTCGGGCTATCATCAGCTGAGGATCCACCCAGAAGATGTCTTCAAAACAGCATTTAAAACTCACACAAGACATTTTGAGTTTTTGGTAATGCCCTTTGGGCTTACCAACGCCCATGCTTCTTTCCAAGGATGGATGAATGAGGTTTTAAACCCTTACTCAGAAAATCTGTTCTGATTTTCTTTGATGATATATTGGTATATAGTAAGAGTGGGGAGGAACACTGGGTGCATTTACGACAAGTTTTTCAGCTCATGAAGGATAATGTGATGTATGCCAAGATGAGTAAATGTACCTTTGTAAGTAATAAGGTGGAATACTTGGGCCACTTTATTTCCGCCAAGGGAGTGGAAACAGATCCTACAAAAATTGATGTTATCACTTCTTGGCCAGTTCCTACATCAGTCAAGGAGCTCAGGAGTTTTTTGGGATTAGCTGGCTATTATAGGAGGTTTATAAAGGGTTATGCAATGATTAGTAGACCCTTGACTGATCTCTTAAAGAAGGGTGCCTTCATATGGTCAGATTTTGCTCAGATAGCTTTTGATTCTCTCAAATTGGCTCTATCTACAGCCCCGGTGCTAGCAGTACCTAACTTTGCCCTAACATTTGAAATCGAAACAGATGCCTCCAAGCAGGGAATTGGGGCTGTTCTTATGCAGAAACAACATCCCCTGGCATTCATCAGCAAGACGTTGGGCCCCAAGTGGCAAAAATTATCAGTATATGAAAAAGAGCTGTTGGCTATTGTTTTTGCTGTACAAAAGTGGGAGCAATATCTGTTAGGCAGTCATTTCATCATAAGAACTGACCAAAAGAGCTTAAAGTGGCTTCTTCAACAAAAGGTGTCCACCCCTTTCCAACAATTTTGGTTATCCAAATTTTTGGGGTTTGACTATGAAGTAGTTTACAAAAGTGGAAAGGATAATGTGGCTGCTGACGCCTTATCTAGGGTACCTGGTTCTGAGATATTACTTATGGCCATCTCAGTAGTATCATCTGACTTAGGAAGATTGATTAAGAACAGCTACCTATTAGACCCTAACCTTATGTTGGCTGTCTAGACATTACAAAGTTCCCAGCCCAGGGACACTTCACCCTACAAGATGATTTCTTGAGAAGGAAGGGGAAGTTGGTTGTGGGTCCTAACGAAGAGTTAAAAATGCAAATTATTAGATGGCATCACTCTAGTCCATAAGGGGGACATTCAGGAAGGGATGGAACTCTTAAAAGAATAAAATCTTTATTCTATTGGAAGGGCATAAACAAAGTAGTCAGTAACTTTGTGAGGAACTGTGTCACATGCCAGGCTTCTTAAAGTAAGACGGTGCCCAGCCCAGGATTGCTACAGCCTAGCCTTTACCTGTACCACAAGGAGTATGGTTAGACATTTCAATGGATTTCATTACAAGGTTACCTAAGTCTATGGGGAAGGAAGTAATTCTGGTGGTTGTGGACAGAATGAGTAAATATGGCCACTTCATTGCCCTTAAACACCCCTTCTCAGCCCTAGAAGTGGCACAAGCATATTTGGACCACGTTTTTAAATTACATGGGTGGCCAAGGAGTATTGTGAGTGATAGGGATGCTGTTTTTCTTAGCCAATTTTGGCAGGGCCTTTTTTCACTACAAGGGACTGAACTTCTCTTATCAACAGCTTACCACCCTCAAACTGATGGCCAAACTGAGGTGGTTAACAAGTGTTTGGAAATGTACTTAAGATGCATGTGTGGAGATCAGCCATCAGATTGGTGTATGTGACTTCCTTTAGCTGAATGGTGGTATAACACCCACTATCACACTGCCATCAAGCTCACCCCTTATGAGGTTGTTTATGGTCAACCTCCTCCTCTTTATATTCCATACCTTCTAGGGGAGTCTAAGGTAGAGGCTGTGGATAGAAGCATGCAGAGGAGACAACAAGTAACTGAGCAACTCAAATTTCAGTTGGTGCAAGCTCAAAACCGAATGAAGGTACAGGCTGATAGGCACAAGTCTAAGAGGAGTTTCAAGAATGGGGACTGGGTTTGGTTGAAACTTCAGCCATATAGGCAGCAATCTGTTCAGAAAAGGGCTAACCACAAGTTGTCTCTTAAGTACTTTGGCCCCTTTCAAATTGCTGCAACTATGGGCAAAGTTGCTTATAAACTTAAGCTACCAAACCACTCTTGCATACATGATGTGTTCCATGTATCACATCTGAAGCCATTTAGGGGTACCCTCCCTACTGCCGTACACATTCCAGAGTAGTTCCAGGGGCAACTTGCTGGCACTCATCCTAAGCCAGCGGCAATCATTGACAAGAGGATTCAGAAGGTTCAAAATAAAGCCCAAGTACAGTATTTGGTTCAATGGGAAGGTTATAGCAACCTGGAGGCTACCTGGGAACCAGCTGAAGATTTCAAGGCCGCCTATCCAGATTTTCAGACTTGAGGACAAGTCTTCACAAGGGGGAAGCAATGTTACAGCTGATGTTATAGATGGAGACAGCTGTCAATCACGTGGCACTCTTAGTTGTTACGTTTGTTATCCAAGTTTGTTACGTTCGTTATAAACGGTTAGGGCGGTGGGTTGTATATAAATACAAGGTGGATGTACGTATGGAATATAATAATACAATCTCATTTTTCCTCTCTCAAAATATCTTCTTCTTCCCCAAATATCTCTTTCTTCCTGGTAATCTCCATTGGAGAAGCTTACAGCTTTCCAAGCTGTAACACGCTGCTCTCCTGTGCGGCTGCTGTCTTAGCAGTCCTGCGACGGAACTATCCTGCACGGCTGCTGTGTTACGACGCTATATTGCCCTGCACCTCTGCTTTTCTAGAGCCTTTGCTCTCCTGCAGTCTTGCTACGGAAATGGAACAAGGGGTACAAGAGGTATATATTCAAATTCTACTTCTATTTCCTAGCAATCTTGATTCATAGCATGATATGAATATGTGATACTTAAAATTTTAATATTTACTCTACTTTGAGGATTTCAGATTTGTTGGCATAGGATCTTAGATTCATGAATGTATATTGCTTCTTTTGCTTCACTTATTCATGCATTCGTAATATATTTGAGTTAATATATTATACTCCCTTCGTCCCATAAAACCTTTCTCCTTTCTTTTTTTATCCGTCCCACAAAACACTTCTCATTTCTATTAAAAAGTCACTTTTACCCCTTACTTTTTCATACCCTAACTATCACATCATACCTTTTTACTAATAATCTATCCATCAAATCACACTTTTACCCATCACATCAAAGGATATTTTTGGAAATTTAATACCAAAATACACTCCCCTTAAATCCCTCCTAAAAAGCAAAAGTCCCATGTTTCACGGGACGGATGGGAGTATATGAGTTCCTTAACCTTTTAAAAATAAAAAAGTGCAACAGAAACTAAAATTTGTTATGTTTTGGTATTTGCTTGCCTTCTCAGTATAATGTATC